GACCTTCTGTGCAGGACATGACTCAGGCTCAGATGGTTCTGGAGAAGATCACGTTACAGAAGTGTCTCCTTTACTGTGAGAGTCTGCACGGACGACCGGTCAGTCTGTCCCACCTTTGACTCCTACACCTGACTTTATTTGTTGGTTATTTTGTTGATTCGTTTTGTTTACATTTCTAAACGTTTGGATCTCAGGGAACCAAACAGGAGAAGAACCTGGTCAAACCTCTGTACGACAGGTACCAGCTGATCAAACGTTTGCTGTGTGCCAGTCCCACCTCCATCACTACCATTGTGAGTAACCATGCACATGCTAACATGCTAAAAGGCTAACTTAAGTTGTCCACGGTGCTAAGCTAACACAGGACATTTTTGGTGACATTTCAAGGAGGAAGAGGAGGGTTCTGATGAGGACTCTGGGACCTCAGCCACGCTGGACGAACATCCTGTCCAGGGCTTGCCTCTTCGACCAGCAGGGGGCGAAGACGACAGTGACCGTGACAGTGACCCGGCCTTTGTGTCCCCGATGGACGAGGTGAAAGCTGTCCGTCATCAGCCTGGTGTCACCACCGCCAACCTGCACGAAGCCTCCAGGTCAGGGACCAGTTCTGAGTTTCTAAGAAACCACACAGATCTTCAAAAACACTGAACCTAACTAAAATACTCTCCCGCTCTCCCCCGTCTTCCACCCTCCCACTGTCAGGTCTCAGCTGTTGCAGACTTTACGACAGACCAGAGCAGAGAAGAAGATGAGGCGCAAAATAATCAGAGAGTTTGAGGAGCAGTTTTACCGTCAGACCGGCAGGTGAGTGACCACAGTAAAGACCTTGACCACCAGGTGTCAGGATTATAACGTGTGCTCCTGGTGTTCCACGACAGAATTTGCCAGAAGGAGGATCGCACTCCGTTGAAGGAAGAATACCAGGAATACAAACAACTCAAAGCCAAACTGCGACTGCTGGAAGTTCTGCTCAGCAAACAGGAAGTTGAAAAATCCATGTGACACCAGTGAGGGACAAGTCCTGTCGTTGTCGCTGATCCTGGGTCAGAAGGTCATCTAATGCATTTATAGCTTCTTCCAGTGTTTGTTAACCTTACAGTTGACTGCGCCTCCACTGAGATCCTACTGAGTCTTTACTGAGTCATGACCAAAACTGCACTGTCCATAGTCTCCACCAGTTTCTACTGAGCCTCTGCTGCATTCTTCAGAAATCTCCACTGAGATTCTACTGCAGTACTGCTCCCGCTCGACTGTACTGCATCTTTGTTGTATCTCAGTTTAGGCACCGAGTCTTTACAGACAAATATATTAATGCTAAGACTCAATTTCTGCTGGTTCCTTATTGATCCTTAACCAAGACGTAGTCTTTACCTTGTTTCCACCAGAACCCTGCTTTACTGAGACTAAACTAAGACTCTACTCAGTCTCTGCAGAGTCTGTACTACGTCTCTGTAGTAGACTCTACTTAATCTTTTAAAGTGCCTACAAAGTCAGATGAACCTCCACTGATAGTCTCTACTGAGTCTTGCCAAGTCTCTATTTAGTCCTTACTGAGTCTTCAAACCAAACTATTAGTCAGTCTTCACCGAATCCCAGCTACTCCTGGTTACTAAGCTAAAACAACTAGGTTTTTACTGGTTCTCTGAATTGTACCTAGTCCTAACTGACTCGGTCTTTACTGAGTCTCCACTGAGTCTTTATCGAGTCTCTCTCCAAAAGTGTCAAATGAGTCTGTACTGAGCCTTCACTCGTTCCTATTGACTGAGTCTTTACTAAGTCTGGTTCTTTACGTGATGTAATCTTTATCAAGTTTCTAATGAGTCTTTACTGAGTCTGATCTGAGTCTACGGGGGATTCCACCACATCCACACGTTTGACATCACACAGTAGAAGATATTGATAATGTGTCCAAACCTCAGTGAAGTATTTGTCATGAACAGAGTTGTGATGCGTTCACATGGATATTTATTTTGTTATGAATCAAAGTGAATGAAATTTCAACGTAAATGTTTGATCTGAACGAACCACATGGTTTTAAATCTGTGTTAAATCAAAGTAAATCACTATTTATTTCTATATGAGAATGTTCTGTGTAAAAACACGTGCACGTCAGTGTTGATGAAGTCGTCCGTGTCATCGTCTTCTGTTTGCTCGACACATTTCTACGCAGTCAAATAAATATTTTTGATAAAAAAACTCTTGGATTTTGTTCATTATTTATTTGGATTTGACATTCTACCCTCTGACTTTTCTAGAACACGGCAGGTGATGTCGTTGATGACATCACTGGTAGTAAAAGCTGGCCGTGATGTTAAAGACGTCAGACACGCCTTCGTATGGCGTGATGACGGGTCGCAGCCCTTTTATCTGTTTGTAATGTCCAAAGTGTCTGATCCTGTAGGAGCCTCTGGGCGCCGCGGCCGGAATGAACCACTCCACTGTGGCGTTGCTCCGCCCATTGGAACCTTTCAGCCAATGAAATCTGAGACCAGGACAGATGGTTCAGTGACAAGACAGTCTCTAATAGTGAATATGAAACCAAATGTGAACCAGTTGTGGTTCAAGCCCAGTCCCAACTAATCTTCACTACTGACTCGTTTCACTAACTAAAATCAACAGTTCTAACTATATTAAAACAGGAAGAACAACAGTAATAAAAACAACACCTGGTTTCCCATGATGCATCGTTGTGAATCACCTCCCAGCTTCCTGTTCTGCTGTCCATCATCTCCACAGTAACAAAGGTTCTATCTCTCTGTGAACAAATAAAAAGATGAATTAACACCAGATGGCGCTTACGTAAAAGAACCATCCAAAAAAATGGCAGAGTGTCTCACGATGTCTCCAGAGTGTCGGGGGTTTCCTGCCACAAATGTTACTGAGACCACGTCACCCTGTGGACGTTATCACACGTGAGCATCAGGATCTCATGGTATATACAGTACACCTGGTATGTAGCCCTGAGGAACACCAGCACCACAGCACACCCACCTGTCTGTACACTGGTAACACCTGGTCCAGGACATCACCAAAACTACTGTTCACTGGTTTCCTGTCCACAGACGCCTGAGGCAACAAATTAAAGAGGTTCTTCTCAAAAAATGGGGGTTGAGGTCCCGGTGGAAGCCCTGTCACCCGGTCCTGAAAACATTCATTTTTACATATGAATATGGAGAGATTTTAATCAAAAAACAACAAAACATCGTGTGACCGACAGCTACGTCTTCTCTCTGTTTTCATCTTTTATCGTGAACAACTTTGTGTCAAACCTGTGCTATTGCTCTGGCCAGACCCCGGTACTTCTGCACGTACGCACTAAGCGTGTGCGGACCATAGATGGTGGACGCTCCCTCGTATCGTTGCACCTGAACAGAAGAGTGGAGTCAAGACAGTATATGTCAAGAGGCAAAACTAAATGAGCCTCTGGTTCCTGGCTGCTGGTACCTGGTACTCTTCATACGTGGTGATGTAGTGAGTATAAATGTTACTCAGCCCAGAGATTACGACCTCCACATCTCGGTACGACCCCTCAGACTGCAGCTCCTGATCAACACACACACACACACACACACACACAAACACATACAACTGTCATGTCCCTGAATCCAGTAAAGAACCAAGTCCAACTTTAAAAGAAAAGTCTGAGTTTAAGACGATCAGCTGTTCCAACTGTAAGTCCAAGTGTGGGTGTGGTACAAATCAGGTCCTAAATATTGAGACAGTGACGTTTTACCCACAGCAGTTACACCAGGGGCAACTAGGGACTGAAGAAGACTCTCAGATGAAGAGGTGAAACCAGTCCAATTGTCCCTGGTGTAACTGCCTTAGATAAGACAAGATAGGACAGAGAACCCTGCTCAGCAGAACTGCCTTGAACACCTGATGTTCATTAGGGTTCTACTGCAGGTCACCAAAGCAGACAAACTGAATCACCAGTAGGTGTCAGAGTGGAGTCACCAGTGGTGTGGGCTGAATGAGTCTCACCTTCTGAACAGCTTCTCTCAGTCTTCGTCCAGCCATCGTCCTAAAACAAGAGAAACATCCAGAAGTTCTTCTCTGAACACAGACTATCCTTAAGTCATGCAGCTGTAGGCCTAGATTCCCGGGGAAACTCCCATGATGCAAAGAGCACTCTTACTGTAGCGTGCAATCGATACAAAATGTTAAAATATTTAATATACAGTTTGTTCATGTGGAGTACAGTGGAGTAAAATTCTGTTAATCTCTACAGTCATCTCTATTTCCCTTTTTGCAGATGACAACATGTTTTTTTTAGTAAATAAAAAATTATTTTAAATAGTATTTTCTACATTTAAATTAAATTTCCTACACATGTCCAGCATGTTGTTTACAGCAGAATACAGAATATATTTCAAAGTATTAAAGGGTCATTACGTGACTTCTCCAGGGACAGCGATGACAGCAACTGAACCAATGGTGATAATCTGAACATCCACAATCTCAGGATGCCAGGGCAGAGGCCAGGTCATCTGCACACACACACACACACATTTTTATGTGAGTGTTTCACACTGCATAATAAATATTGTGTATGTGTAACTATTTCACAAACACAGAAACATCTACATGTAAAAATGATCTTCGTGTGTGTGTGTGTGTGTGTGTGTGTGTATATGTGTTTATGTGGGTGTGTGTGTGTGTCCTTACCTCCCCAGTGCTGAACAGGATTGGTTTAGGATGATGACATTCTTGCGTCTCATTGGACGGCTCACCCAGGAGAGCATCTCTGACCCCATCCCAGAAGGGGTCGCCCTCCACCGCACCTTCACAGAGACAGTTGACAAAGAGGTGACGGTGATTCATGAGTTCAGAATCCAACAGTAGAAAAAGGATCAGAATCAGTAAATCACCCTGAGTAAAGTTCAGGTCTCCTCCTCCATCTGTTGTTCCTGCTGCGAAACTGTGACCAAGCGCTGGTTTACAGGTCCTGGCCTGACACACACACACACACACACACACACACAGAGATTCAAGTGTTAGTAAGTTATGTGTTTGTCTTGACCTGACCTGCAGACATGGATGGTTAACTGTGTGGTTGCCTTTTACCATTTATTTGCTAACTCCTAGCTGTTTGTTATCTGGACTGTAGTCCTGCAGCACTTTTACCCTTCATGGTATGTGTGTGTGTGTGTGTGTGTGATGCAAACCATGTGTGTGTGATGCATACCGTGTGTGTGTGATGCATACCATGGGTGTGTGATGCGTACCGTGTGTGTGCTGTTGAATGGGACTTCCACCTCTGTCATGTTAACCCATTGATGAGCAAAGTGAAGAGAACCCCTCACCTCCTCATCTGCGTTTGCATAGAGCTCCTGCAGGGGGGAGCAACACATTGTTACAGACACACATACACACACATACACACTCACACACACATACATACCTTGGTCTTCATGTAGATGTTGTGTCCGATGATCCTGGTACTCTCAAACATGTCTTCTCCAGGTCCGATGCTAGCGCACAGTTTAGTCTGAGACACACACACAAACAGGGCTCACTCACTGTGTGTGTGTGTGTGTGTGTGTGTCCCTCTGTGTGTGTGTGTGTGTGTGTGTGTATTTACCCCTCCCTCAGGACAGGAGCTGTTCACGTAGTCACAGGGCAGACCTGTGTTCATGCAGTGAGGACCTCTGGTGTTTGGACTCACGTCACCCAGGTTACTGGAGGAAAAACCAGCAACAAAACCACCCTGAACACACACACACACACACACACAAACTGTTTACACCAGAAGAATGTTCTCAGGAGGTAAATGTCCAGTACCCACCTGTCCAGGTAACTCTCCAGGGTTCTTGTCCTGCTCCATCAGGTAGGAGGCGTAGCCCATGTTGTCACTGCTGACCATCAGGTTGGTGTAGTTCATGCTGACAGCGTGGACAGCGAACCAGCTGTAAGGAGGGAGCGGGCGGAGTGTTCAGTCCGTGTTGGTCCAGAGGACAATCTGTACTAAACCAGGACCAGTGTCTGTGTTTAGTACCTTAGCATCCCAATCCCGTCCCCATCCATGTCAGTGAACTTCAGCACCGTCACCTGCTTGTCTTTGTCCCCGTCATACCTGAGCAATGAGCGGGAATGGAACTGAAGCCTGTGAACCAGCCACTCTGCCACACCAAACTTCATAGAGAAAATCAGTGATTTCAGCCCAGACCAAAGTCCATAGAGACAATCAGTGATTTTAGCTCACAGACCAAAGACCATAGAGAAAATCAGTGATTTTAGTGCAGACCAAAGTCCATAGAGACAATCAGTGATTTTAGCTCAGACCAAAGTCCATAGAGACAATCAGTGATTTTAGCTCAGACCAAAGTCCATAGAGACAATCAGTGATTTTAGCTCACAGACCAAAGACCATAGAGAAAATCAGTGATTTCAGCCCAGACCAAAGTCCATAGAGAAAATCAGTGTTCTTAGCTCACAGACCAAAGACCATAGAGAAAATCAGTGATTTCAGCCCAGACCAAAGTCCATAGAGAAAATCAGTGTTCTTAGCTCACAGACCAAAGACCATAGAGAAAATCAGTGATTTTAGCTCACAGACCAAAGACCATAGAGAAAATCAGTGATTTTAGCTCACAGACCAAAGACCATAGAGAAAATCAGTGATTTTGGCTCAGACCAAAGTCCATAGAGAAAATCAGTGATTTCAGCTCAGACCAAAGTCCATAGAGACAATCAGTGATTTTAGCTCAGACCAAAGTCCATAGAGACAATCAGTGATTTTAGCTCACAGACCAAAGACCATAGAGAAAATCAGTGATTTCAGCTCAGACCAAAGTCCATAGAGACAATCAGTGATTTTAGCTCAGACCAAAGTCCATAGAGAAAATCAGTGTTCTTAGCTCACAGACCAAAGACCATAGAGAAAATCAGTGATTTTGGCTCAGACCAAAGTCCATAGAGACAATCAGTGATTTTAGCTCACAGACCAAAGACCATAGATCACATACAGCAGTAGATCACATACATTCATGTGCTTTGATTTAAAAGTCACAGATTTTCTCTGTAGACCTTGGTGTAGGACAGGGACAGGGTTAAAAACCTGAAGTTGAACTTCATCTCTCTGTGTGATTGTGTACCTTTCTCTCTCTTTCTCTGGGTTGTTCAGGTACGAGTGTGGACTTCTGTTCAGGCTGCTCTCGTCCACTTCTCCTCGGTTCCTATAAATCCTGCCGGGCCTCATGCTGCGGTGGGCAATCTCTATACTCTGGACAAACAAACACAGTCAACGCTGCAGGTCACAAACTGATCAGGTGGATCACTGATTATCTGCTGTGATCAATAATTAATTCACTTTCATCCATCTGTGGATTCTGAACTGAACTGTAGTGGCCGTAGCCTCCGGTGTCCTGATAACAACTGAACTCACGGTGTGAGGTTGGAGATACTGTGATCAATGCAGATAAGGTGGCCACTGATATAGATTAAGGATAACTACAGGTTAGCCTGAGAAGGCTAACAGAGTAATAGAAATAACTTTCAATAACAAAAGGGTAAATGTGGTTCTTTGCTTAAATTGAATGGTCAATTGGTCAAATTAATAATTATAAATAATTAATAGAATCTTAAATAAATTGGTTTGACATTTGACTCAAAACATTCAATAAAAACTAGTACACAAAAGGTTAAAGTTTGTTAGTGTTAATGCCAACATCTAGGCGACAACAAATTAAATATAACTCAAAGCATTTAAAGCATTTAAATAAGTAAACTTTACAAGGATGTAGCTAAAAGCCAGCTAATGACATTTGAACATTTTTCAGTGTTGGGCAGGTGGTTTTTGTTTTAAAGTAATTTGTTATAAATGTTAGTTACTTCTTCCGAGTAGTTAGTTAGTAACTGAATTACTTTTTACATATGTATTGCACCTTAACAGACCATAGATGATGGACATAGTGTACTGTTCAAATATTTTCAAAAAATTACAAGTACAGAGTTTAACTATGAAGTGCTTTAACGCTGTGTGTGAATGAACTAAATCAACCTTCACAGCAGGACCGCTATCGTCATCAACTGTGTCAACAACGGTGTTTTTAGCCACTAGTTTCGTAAAAGTGTGTCGTTGAAAACTTTCTCACAACGGACGTGGACAAACACTTCGCTTTGGGACATAATGAACGCTCCACGTGTTCATTCTTGTGTTTTACCTGTAGGACATTGAAGCTGTATTTCCATTTTGAAACATTCCCAACTTCCCCCCCAGACTCTTCTCTGCCGCTGCTAACCTGTGCTAGTTTGGCTGTGTGAGCCGGCTGTGCTTCTCCTGATTGGCTCACCTTGAACGCTTCCTCTGCCTTAGCCAATCATTAACAATCACGCCCCTCCCACACCAAACAAGTAAATTACGGTAAATTAAATTAACAGAAGATGAAGATGAAGAAGAATAATTTGTTCCGTCACTCAGTGAAAAATTACGTAGTGAAAAAAATAACGCCGTTAGTAACGCCGTTATTCCTATCTCTTCCTGCCATAATTCTGCACTCAAAGTGGGCAGTATACCATATAATATATACAGTAAACATATTGCTTATTATATAAGTAATATGTCTGAGAGGAAAGCCTCACAGTAGAACCTCTCATATGGACCAAAGACAGAAGCAAACACCTTAACGATGCCGTCGACCAGCGGCTGGACGGACGCTTTGATGTAGCCACTGCTACTGATCATGAAGAGTGTGTACTGGAAGAATCCACCCGGTCCACAGTGGGTGTGTGTTCCACTCAGAACCACGTTCTCCTGACGGTACAGGTCACCGAACTTCACCTGCAAGGCCTGCAGCACCTGGACACACACACACACACACGTGTACGCATCAGTATGAGCACATACACACTGAATAATTTAAAGGTTAGCAAACATTTACATACAACAGATAACCAAAATTTCAATTTCATTAATTTGTAAATAGAACTTGAGTAATGTGAAAATTGCTAGAGTATATATAAATGTTTAAAAAAAATAAAACCTGGGCCCAGACATAGAAAACAGTGAGTTCAACTGTCTGAATGTTAGCCAGGGGGTGAGCTGAACACTGGATGTTTACTGTCCTTTGTTAGAATTCTTACTGTGTTTGTTTGCACATCACAGACAGCATATGAAAGGTCAGGTCAAACGCACACACACAAACACACACACCTCCAGTCGTAGCCTCTGAGAGATCATTCCTACGTCAGCGGTGACGAAGACCAACCTCTTCCTCCCGTCATCAACGATGAAGGCTCGACTGTACAGACGGGTGTGTATTCCTGCAGCCTTCTGCTGAGGGTGAGCGTAGCCCATCTGCACACACACACAAATACAGAGTCTTTCTTGAGAATCAGAGACCCTCGCAGTGTCTTCAAACATATTAGGAAACTGCCTTAGTCAGGTTCTGAAGGAAGGCCGAAGTCAAGCATCTGCAAATGACATCACAGATGTGATGTCATACCCAGGATGTGATATCACAGGGTTCCATGTGACGGATTATGTCCTGATGATGAGAGTGAACCAAACCTCAGTCACTGCACATTCGTTTTTACAGCCTTATCCACAGAGATGCGTTACACAGCAACCTGGTGGTCCCTGAAGGCACCATGGTACAGGGCAGGACAGAGAACTCCCACTGGTCCCTTGTAGCCTCGAACACAACCGTCAACAGGTCTAATGTGGAAACACTGGGGTATTCAGGAAGTCTGACAACTGCCTCGTTATCATGTCTAGGACCTGAGCCACTGAACACACCTGTAAAGGGTTAGTTGGTGGATTTTGGTGGAGTGTGAGAACCAGCTGGTTCACGTCTGTGATGGTTCTAATAGAAACACTTTTATTTTATCATTCTCTTCTTCTTCTTCTTATATGTTGTTTAGGTTTACATCAGTAAGAGCAAGTGACCACACGGGGCAGCAGCATACCACCTGACACTGTGTCTTTGAGATGGCTGATTTTCTTCACAGACTTTGTTGTAGTGGAGTGAGCGGTCAACAAAGTCCTGTTAGCTGCAGTACCAGTACTGACCAGTGGGATCTCAGCAGGAGGCCCGGTGCAGTCGGCTCGTCCCACGCCGACCATGTACGTGTAGTTCTGAGGAAGTGTTGGATCAGGACCTGGCATGAGAACAAAGGATTGGCTGATCTGTCATCAATCTCTGCAATTACTGATTTGTATGTGTGTGTGTGTGTGTGTTCACACCTTTGTTTGTCTCTCCAGCGATCAGGACGTAGATCAGGACCAAGCTCGCCGTGGACACCAGGAGAAACAGGGTGCTCAGTGACAGAGTCACACAGGAACAACAGGCACACCCCCCCTTACACGCCCCCATTTTCACGGCCTTAGCAGAAAACATTCATGTTAGCGTCGTTCATGTTAGCAACAAACAACAATGTTGAGTTGAGTTCATCTTAGGGTTAGTTAAAAACAATCCTGGCTTTGATACAGTTTAATTGATTTGAGGTTAGTTTAAGCTTGATATGATTCAGTCTAGGAAGAAAACAGATGAGTTTAGCCTTTGTCAGCTCAGCCAGATTTAGCAGGGTTTACGTTAGCTTAGCCGAGTCTAATTGAGATTGTCTTTGCAAACAATGAGCCATGATTGGTTTAGCAACTGATTTAGCAGTCTTCAGTTCAGTGCAGTGAAATACTTATTTACCTTTACCTTTGGGCCTTGGATTAGTTCATTTAGTGTTTTAACTAACAACACAACAGTTCACTTAGTTTTTAATTTGTAATATGAGTTTTTTACGTTATTTTGGACTTAGTTAATATTGGCTCCTTTAACATTTATTATTATACTGGTGTAGGTTATTTAACATGGAGTAGTTAAGCAGAAACCTTTGATCTGACCTCTGATCAATAAACCCAAACGATCAATAATCAAACACACGAAACAAAAATAACAGCAAACAAATGACATCAGCCTGGGTCAGTCTCTGTGACCCCTGTGACCTCTGAGCAGATTAACTACCAGAGAAAGAAAGTATATAAAACATGTAAAACCTACCAGAAGCTGGAGACGAGGCGATGGTGTTGATCAGCTGCCTGAGTGTGTGTGTGTGTGTGTGTGAGGTTTGTTCACCTGTAATCTAACTGATAAACTGTCAGTCTACAGGTGAACACTCCAAAGTTCACACTTGAACCTCTAGCACACGGTTATTATTGATGACAGTCTAATCAGTGAAACCCATCAATCAGTAAAACCTCTAATCAGTGATCAATAAAACTTCTAATCATCGATCTCTGCTGGAAATACACTTTTTAAGGGTGGCTTCTTCAGTTCTCATACAAAAGTTGGAACCATTTCCAACATGTGTCATCAGGGTCTGGGGTTCGAGTCCCTCCCCTCCCCGTCAGTCACTTTCCATTCAGCTACTTTCTTGAGAATCTCCAGGTTAAATATTGATTGATTCTTCACTATATTTGTTTTCACTTTGACTTATCTTTATTACTAACTTCAAGCAATATGGATACACTGTATGTTGTCGAGTAGCATTTGGCTAACATTGAGCTATTGCTAGGCTTGGCTAAAAAAACAGGTTTTGTTTGTTTGTTTGTTGTTTTGTCTTTTCCTTTTTTCCTCTCTAGACAAACTGTTGGTTATTTTTAGCCACCATTTAGCTCATTTGTAAACTGTTAGCTTATACTAAACTTCATTCCAGACACTAGTTTAACTTTAAGCAAAGTTTTGTTTTTATGGCTAAATGTTATTCTAGTTTGTGATTAGACCGATAGTGCTAGCTGATATTGCTATTGCTTATCAACAACTTATGTCATATCCTTGCTAACTTTTAGCTACTTTTGCTGCTGTTCTAACTCTTATGTTAATCTTGAACTTCTTCTACTTCGATACATTTTTATTTGATATTTGAATGTCGATATAATGTGGTTAAGACAAAGAGGAGTAATGTTGTTGTTGTTGTTGTCATGGTGAAGTGTTTGGTTGACACCAGTCACGAACTACGTAAAAAAACAAACAAAGAAGAATTGGCTCATGTGATGTACGGAGGGGGAGGGGCCTAGAAAAGGGAGGTGAAGGAGGAAGAAACAGTCAGCATGGTAACAGTGGGAGGAGGAGAAAAGGGGTGGAGGACAGGAATGAAGGAGGTGAAGAAAAGGGGTGAGGAGGAGGAGGAGGAGGAGGAGGAAGAAGAAGGAGAACAAGCAGAAATAGAGTTAAAACAAGGAAAACAAAGAAGTTTGGCGCCTGTGGAGCCACGTGACTGGCGAAACTGATGACGAAACAACTGATTACCGACTAATTGAAGCACCATGGATCGATAGGTAAGGGAAATATCGAGAGAGAATGACGTACAAATCCGTGACGTCACCGTAGCGCAACGTCGACATCACGAGAGAAAAAAACATCCATAAAAACTTTGTTTTTAGTTTAGTAAACCGTTGTTCTCGTGATTGCTGTCGGTCATTAAATAAAAATTTAAAAACCCTTCGTCAAATGAAAAGCAGACGATGAGAAAACGACGAAAATTAAAGTTTAAACGCACTTTAAAATGGTAAGAGTGAGATGCGTGTTGTAGTATATTTAACCACAGGAGGCAGCAGTGGTAGCGCAGCCTTGCATACAGGCTAAAAATCATAATTTTTCTGGGGTCCCTGTGGTGCAGTGGAATGGGAACAGTGGACATTCTTGAGGTTACAGTGTTTGCTGACACATATTTGTCAGTGACCCAGACGCTGCTCAGGCAGTAAACACCCAGAGGATGTAAATAAACTCAAACTGGGAGAAGCTTCAGTTCTGACACCTGACACCTGTGTGTGTGTGTGTGTGTGTGTGTGTGTGTGCTGACGGGGTGTGGGAGAGTATATGTAGCTGTGTCACAGCTGCACATGTTGTTTGTCACAGGTTGACACACATACACAGGGAGACAGACGAGAGACGTGTTAATGGATGTGAAATCAAACGCTCCTGTGGTTTAGGGAGCGCTTGGTTGATGTCTTCTCACCTGCAGGCCAGAGTCAGGTGGGTTAATGATTGAGGGTCAGTTGGTCACTGATTGACCGGAGACACTTTTTTAACCCAACTCCACATTCAGAGACTGAAGACAGGGAGACATCTGCTCTGTCTCTGTCCTCTCTGTCCCTGTTGTCTCCATGCCCGTTCTTTGTCTCTCTCCTATCCTAGATGTCTGTCCTTTGTCTGTTGTCAAAAACTCTTACTGTCTCTCACCACAGACCAACGGAACTATATTAATCCTCAAGGTTTCGGGGGAAGTCACTGGATACTTCTGGAACCAAATCTGTAAGGACCAGGACGAAGAACTGGGCCACAACCAGGACCATTACTAAGACCATAACATTATAGGGAGCTCAGCTACTTCTAAATCTGCAACAATGGCTGATGGGAAACAGCGTAACCGTGGCGTGTGTCCTCCAGATGGAGGTTGGGGCTGGATGGTTGTCCTTTCCTGCTTCATGGTGACCGTGTGCACGAGAGCAGTGACCAGGTATGTGCACCCTGCAGGTCCCTAATATTCTGGCCGACCCAGTTCCGGATCATCACGACTCATTCTTCTAACTGACGTTTTTTTTTTTTTTTTTTAATTTTGGGACACCATGTCATTTGTCACTGCGACGTTTCAACAGTTAGCTTGCTAATGCTAGCGATGTGAGCAAAGTTGGGATTTGACCAGAAACTGACGTTTTCTATAGAGGGACTTCTGTGTTTTCACTATAAATAGTTCCATTTTCTCTGCTTGTCTTTAATTTGAATCAGAGACAGGTTTAAAACCAGTTCTCCTAACATTAAGCTGCGGCTGCGGCAGTAAGAACAGGAGCACTTTAAGCGAAACCTGAATCCACCTTTACCTGGGGCAGGTGTGTTGCTCTATATCTTCCAACACTGAGGTGAAGAATGTGGCCTTGGGGGAGTGAGTAATAAAATGACATAAATTACATAAATTAATATGAGACTGAGTTGACTGTTACTGTGGGGAAAAAACATAACCATTAGACTTTTTCAGTGGATTTCTTTTGAAAACCCAGTAAAAGGTTTTTCCCGGGTGCCCCTGAGCCTGGAGTCTGTGCTGCCAACACCTGAACAAATACCAGAGAAAACCTGGTCCAGAGTGAACCAGTCCACTATCAGCCGATCCTGACCTTTAGTAGTAAAAACATACCGTATTTTCCGCACTACAAGGCGCACTTAAAAGCCTTTAATTTTCTCAAAAATCGACAGTGCGCCTTATGTATGAAAATAGACCTGTTCATTGATATTGCGCCTTATAATCCGGTGTGCTTTATGGTCCAAAAAAAACAGTACACAGAAAATATATGCCCAACCAAAACATATAAATGAATATATGACCAACCAAAACATATATATGAATATATGACCAACCAAAACATATATATGAATATATGACCAACCAAAACATATATATGAATATATGACCAACCAAAACATATATATGAATATATGACCAACCAAAACATATATATGAATATATGACCAACCAAAACATATATATGAATATATGACCAACCAAAACATATATATGAATATATGACCAACCAAAACATATATATGAATATATGACCAACCAAAACATATATATGAATATATGACCAACCAAAACATATATATGAATATATGACCAACCAAAACATATATATGAATATATGACCAACCAAAACATATATATGAATATATGACCAACCAAAACATATATATGAATATATGACCAACCAAAACATATATATGAATATATGACCAACCAAAACATATATATGAATATATGACCAACCAAAACATATATATGAATATATGACCAACCAAAACATATATATGAATATATGACCAACCAAAACATATATATGAATATATGACCAACCAAAACATATATATGAATATATGACCAACCAAAACATATATATTTATGAATATATGTATAAATATATGACCAACTAAGACATAAATATGAATATATGACCAACCAAAACATATATATGAATATATGACCAACCAAAACATATATATGAATATATGACCAACCAAAACATATTTATGAATATATGACCAACCAAAACATATTTATGAATATATGACCAACCAAAACATATTTATGAATATATGACCAACCAAAACATATTTATGAATATATGACCAACCAAAACATATTTATGAATATATGACCAGTGGATAACATGAAGATGTCCAGTTAGCAGTCTATCAGTACAAATTGGTACAAATAACTGACATTATTCAAAACATTCCAGCCAGAACAGCAGCTTAATGTTGAAGTAATGGTCTGGAAAATCCATGCTGTTCAAAGAAAGAATGAGTAAATGGAAAAAAAACTGGACGAAAACAAAGTATTTTAAATCATATCAGTTTCAAAGTCATCAGCCTTTGACTGACAGCTGTCCTCCGCTAGACATACATCTGTGTCCACCAAGGTCCAAAGTCCACTGAGCTGGTGGACCGTTACATAATGTTACATACTGTGGTCTGATAGGAGACCTGGAGACCATCAACCAATCAGCTTCTTCTGTCTGACCACAGGTGTATCTCCATCTTCTTCCTAGAGTTCCAGGCTGAGTTTGGAGCGGACTACTCTGCCACAGCTTGGATCCACAGTCTGGTGGACTGCACCACCATGCTGTGTGGTGGGTACTGCACCAAAGACAACACTCAGACCAGAGACAGGGAAAGGACAGGGGTATGTCTAGGAAACAGGGGAGGACAGGGGTGAGACGTAGATCAGGCAAAAAGGAATGGTAGGTAGGACATTGGACAGGCATACAGTACATATCTATCCATAGGAAAAAAGTCTGAGTCCGACCTTCTTCTTCATCTCCTTCATCATCTTCTTCTTCTTGTCCAGCTCCTGTGGGCAGTCTGGTCAGTAATCGATGGTCCTGCCGAGTGTCTGTTGTGGCCGGTGGACTGTTGTCCTCCTGTGGACTGCTCCTCAGTTCCTTCAGCAGCAGCTTGGTGGTGCTCTACTTCTCCATGGGAGCCCTTACAGGTGAATACATGTCCTCTTCGGTGTTCTGCTCTTCAGCATGTCCACAGTTTTCTGTGCGTCCTTTGTCTCCAGGTCTGGGTTTCGCTCTCTGCTACACCCCCTCCATCGCCATGGTGGGCTGTTACTTCAAACAGAGGAAGGCTCTGGCCTACGGGGTCGCTCTGTCAGGCAGTGGGATCGGGATCTTCGTGTTGGCTCCAGTGGTCCAGCTGTTCATCGAGCTGTACTCCTGGAGGGGGGCGCTGTTGGTACTTAGCGCCTTTGTTGCCAACCTGTGTGTCTGCGGGGCACTGCTTCGTCCAATTACATTGCTGGAGGAGGAAGAAGAGGAGAACATGAAGGAGGTCGCAGGCGACAGAAGCCAAGGTAGGAAGTGGGTCGTGGTGCTGGTTCTAGAACCATGTTAATGGATGAAGGAACTGAAGGAACTGAAACAACTTCCACGTTCTACTGAACTTCTCTGAAACATTTCCATGAAGGTAACGTCTTAACTCCAGCAGCCACCGACATCTCCAAAGAACCATCGCTGCAGCTGCTGGAGGAAACCCCCCCCACTCAGGTGCCGAGGAGGCGGTGCTTTAATTCCTGCTTCCTCTCCAGTAAGGAGTATCGCTTCCTGCTGCTGCCGGACTTCGTGTTCTTCGCGGTGTCCCTCGTGTTCATGGCCAGCGGCTGCAGCATTCCTTTCGTCTACCTGGTGCCGTATGCTCTGAGTTCCGGAGTCAGCCACCAACACGCTGCCTTCCTCATGTCCATCCTGGGCATCATCGACATCGTGGGGAACATCACAGTCGGCTGGTTGACGGATCGCAGGTCGGATGATGATGGCTCTTTTTTACAAACTCTGTTTTCGATACATTGTTTTGGTTTTAATACTGAGATTTTAGTGGCTAACTTTTAGTGTCTCTTGGCTAACACTGCGTTGCTCTTCAGGTGTGTGAAGCCGTACCGCCTGGCCTGTTACAGTTTTGCCATAGCCATGGAAGGTCTCTGCTGCCTCTTGGTTCCGCTGCTTCACTCGTTTCCTCTCCTTGTCCCCTTCGCTGTCCTCTATGGATACTTCGACGGTGCCTACGTAGCTCTGATCCCTGTAGTGACATCGGATGTGGTGGGAGCACCGTACCTGTCCTCAGCGCTGGGTGTGGTCTACTTCCTCCACGCCATCCCCTACCTCTTAAGCCCACCCATCGGAGGTAAGGCTAGAGAAGCTAACATCCTGTTACCAACAACGTCACAATTGGCAAAAGAATAAAACCACTGTATGAGTTGCTGCCCCCTAGTGACTGGAGGCTTGTTATCCTTCAAGCGTTACAGCAGTGGTACACCACTGTGCCATATTCCATTGGAAGCTCCTCACGCGTCCCCTGGCACCTTACAGTGCCCCCCCCCCCCCCCCCCCGGGGGG